TTTGGCTTGATCCTTTTGGCTTAAAATAGTTTAAAACCTCTCCATGCTCCTTTTCTGCTGAATTCTCACACTATTGGCAGTCATCAAGGTTCATGTACATGTGAAGGAGTGTGAAGGTCCCCGGTGTGCTCATTTCTAATTTTGCAGGCACACAGGAGTAGACTGGTTAGCTGAAGAAGCCATGAGATCGACATTACACTTTGAAAATGTCACATTTTACTGCTCTGCAGCCAATTACAAAGGCATGATGTCTTACCAAGCAAGAAAAACTTTCTTTCTTGGTGAAAAACCACCATCAAGTGAGAGAGAAAACTTTAGTGAAATGTGAGATGGTGGTTAGCTTGTTCACATCAACATGGGAACCAGATGGGTTCTGATGGGAGAGAAATGTGATCTGGAAGAAAACAGAAATCAGCATATAGATTTCTGAAGTTGCAAATCTGGGAGTCTGGGTCTCAGGACACAGCCTCTTTGAATGTTGAAAGTCTACTCTGTATTGTTGTTATGTGCCGCTGAGTCGCCTGCGACTCACTGAGACCCTATGTACAACAGCTCTGAACCCTGCTCTGTCCTGAGGCCAACCTTATTGTCTCTGACACACAGGGAAATAAACCAAACCCTGTGAGAACTGGAAGTCAGTTAGAGAACCTTGTTTTCTCAGTCTCACAAGTTTTCCGTCTGGCGGAATGCAGTCCCTATCACTTTTCCAGAGCTTTCTGTTAGTGGAAAATATTTGAGTTCTCCTTCTCTGGGAAGTTTTTGCCTTACACAGCATTTGCAGCTTTTACTGTAAAACCGGATTCCTGATGACTGATTGATAATATGCCAGAGCCTCAAAATCATTACCCCAGCATTGAGATAAGAGACACAGATGCTGAAGATCTAGGAAACTGGACTGCTTAAAAACAGTTATTCTTTGCTTTGGATTTTTTCTTGCCTTATGACCTTATGAGATGAACTTGCACAGATAAAAACCTCAATGTAAAGAGTTAATGAATCTGAGAGATTATTTAGCTTCATTGTATTCTACTGTTACTGAGTTACTGTGCAGCTCTTTTCAGAAGTAGCTTTTGCCTGACTGACAAGGAAATCTCCTAACTTTTTATTTAGCTAACAGGAGCGAATAAATGTTTACGCACAGGAAGAATTAATCTTGGAGGGTTAACAGAGATGAGAACAGAGGGTGAGGGGAGGAAAAGAACCCCTCACAAAAATCCAATAACCACTAATTAAATAGTAAATATTTTTAAAAAGAGCAATTAAGCCTATTAAACATTACTCTGACGTTTTTACATATAGTACCCTTTGAGCAGAAGCAGTGAGGATAATAATCACACAATGATGTTACCGTGGAACATGGAATATGAAAATGGCCTAGTGGTTAGCTAAGCATAGAGACTAGATACAAGGAGGCAAAATAGGTAGGAATAAAGTTAAGTATTTCTGTTCTTGTTTTTCTCTTGCTACACCCATCATCCCTCCACTCTACAGCCACCTACTTGATAAAGAAGCATCCCCCTGCCTCCACCCTCCCAATTTCTCCATGTACATACACAGACACTTTTCTGGGAATTAGCTTTCCAAATGACACCATTGAAGCAGAAATGCTAGGGTTCTGTGTGCAAACGTGTGTTATTTTCCCAGCTGCTGGGCTTCAATTACAGGAGTATCCATTAAGAGAGACTGACCATCATGCGGGACATGACACAAACCAAAGGCCTCCTATAAACCCCACTGGCTCCACAGAAACCCCGAGATCCCCATGCATGATTACCTGGGGAGCCTGCCAGAGAGTCCCCTCTGCTGAAGGCGAAGGTACGGGACACAGAGACGGGCACTAAAGAGTCAGGGGCCAAGGATTTGTGAAGTGCAAAGGGGAAGATAAACACAAAAAGAGAAAGACAAAGAGCAAAGTAGGTGAGACAGTCTGTTCCTGGATCTTCACAGCGGCACATTTTTTTCTAGAAAAAGGAGCTCTGCCTCTGAAAACAAGTCACTTTCCAGAAAGACAGGAAAACAAACTGCACTTGGCTGAATGTCTTCTGAAAAGATGCACCATAATTTTAGAGAGATGCAGTGATGCCAGAAAGGGCAGTTCCTAGTGGGCAGTGTGTGTAAGAGCATTCGTTGCAAGATGCCTGCTGTGAGCCAGTAAATATACGGGCGGCTCAGCACTGCCCTGTCACCAGGCTCTCCCAGCTGCCATGTGTCCTGCTGACCTCTGGGAGACCGCTGACATGGGCATCTGGAGAGCTGACAACAAACTGTGGGCTCCAGGGTTCAGAGCTAATGTACATAGGGTTGTTATGAGTTGCAGGCGACTCGATGGCACATAACAACTACTAGGGGAAGCCTTTGAATGGCAGCATCCTGCCTCAGATGTCTGGAAGAATCCTCTGTGGACACAACACTGGTGAAGACCGATGCAATGCTAGAGGCTCTGGATGAAGGAAGGACAGAATTTATAAAAATTGTAATGTGAATAAACTTGGTTAAATTACAATTCTGAGAGAGTTCTTGGGTATCAGTCGTAAGGAGTTGTGCTACCAACTCAAAGGCACACAGTTCAAATCCCCAACTGCTCCATGGGAGAAAGACAGGCAATCTCCTATGTGATTAACTGCCTCTGAAAACCCACTGGAGGGTCAGCAATGAGTCAGGTCCCACTTGATGACACATTAACAACAATACCAATTACATTCTATTCACTTAGCAGTACAACTATTTCAAAAGCACCTCTCTTTCTGTTCTCTCTTATTTCTCTTTCCCCACAGAGTTCAAAGTGGTGGTGGCTATCATGTGGCGCTTGGATAGGGTAGAATGTACTGAAATAGTTCTGTCCTTTGCCCATCTTAACCCTGATCGAGTCATTTTTCTGGCTGGGAATCTGTCTTCCTTTCTCTTATTGGATTATTTCCTGAGTCTAATTTTAGGAGCTGGGTGAGCAAAGTGATACCAGAGTAAGCAAGGCTCACGACAGCCTCCTGGTAGACCTGGCCACCAGAACCAAGAAAAAGGAGGAATGGGTGTTCCCTTCATCCTGCACTGGAATCTCAGGGAGATTACTTGCAACCTCAAGCCCTACTTTTGAGACATAGTCACAGTGAGGTAAGGGTTGCTTTGCTGGCTAAGAGAGTTTGCTTCCCTACGGCTCAGCCTTCAGTTCTTCTGACATGAGTTTTTGGCCCATGCAGGGCACTGGATAGTTGGACTCCAGGTTGAGGGTCCCCCTGGAGCAATCACGGGGGATGGTCAGTCTTGACAGCTATTTCACACTCCTCCTTCTCTACGAAGTGGAGAAGGCTTAGGGTAAAGATGAAAAATATCACCTTTATTGGCTAGTTGAATCTCTTCTCCCCTAAAGGTTTATAAAAACATTCAGAAACACGGGGGAGGGGAGCAGCAGCTAACTTCTCTTCTGAAGGAGATGTTGGTGTTGCAAGTTTACTCCTGCCTCACTGATAAAATGGAAAGACTTTGATTTAAAAAACAAGAGATGGGAGGAAATCATAGAATTCTTTCTCCACTTCAAAAATAAAAAGAACACACAGACCAAACCCAGAAAGGAGAGCATCTAAACTGGGCGGGCAGGACAACCTTATTCCATCTCTTCTGGTTTTCTGGAAGAGCCAGAACAGTACTAAGATTTCTTTTAGAATCCTGAGCATTACTCCAGAGGAGCTCTGAAAATCCGTCAGAAATGCAGACTGTGATGCATGGTGAAAACAGAAGTTCATGAACCAAGGTTTATGGCGACCCTCGCATGTCCAGAGTCTCATTCCAAACACTGACACCGACCTTGTCTAAATCTCTAATGAACCTGGACTGAGATGTGTTGGCCTAAATGACTATAACAATTTTTATTTTATAAATCTAGTCAATCTCTTCGACTCCTTCAATGCGGGTAGGTAGGCACTTGGACTTCATCTGAATACTCTCCTGGGCTAGGATATGCAGTTACACTGAAAAAGGTCCCAATATTTCCACCTAGAAACTGTATTACAGAATATGATGAATCTAAAAATCTGTATTTCATGGTGTAGTGTCAACTAGTCAGGGCAGGGGATGCATCTAGGTGGTCAAGGAGCTGGCTAACTTGGAGCACTGCTTTCGTTTCCCCTTGTTAAAGGGGTTTATCTACCTCGTCATACACCACAGATTGAGATACATCTTGAGTCCCTCTGATAAATGTCAATATTAAGCGCTACATAAAATATTTTCATGATGAGAGAAAGCACTCTATTTTGTATTAAAATGGTGACTGGAAACATTAAGAGATAAGAACAATACAAATTTCACACCACTGAATGAACAAGAAATCTAGAGAAATGATTACTTCTGGATCACACTGTACAAATAAATGCAATGCCTCTTAAACACAAGTGCAAGAATGCCACGCGGGAAACAGTGAGAAGGCACAGCACAGAAGGGACAAAGCAAACCAGCCATCAGCCGATGCCAACCACCACCAACGGCATGCACCACCAGCTGGTAAGCACATCGCCACCAGCTGAAACACAGCGAACAAGGAGAGAGAAGCACATCAGCGGCCTACCGGACCAGCTTGGGACTTAAAACCCGAGATCCTGCAGTCACTTCTTACTGAGGACAAACTGCACACACAGAGTAATAGCATGTGATGGTTTCTACCAAGCAAAGGCCAGGTGGTGCATTATCAGCGCAAAGAAGGAAAGGCCAAACCTCGTCCAAAGCACGCAACTCACCTGCCTGCCTTCCCTGGCAGCAGAAGGCGCCCCTAACCCAGAGTGTTCATACTTGCGTGGAGGCAGAGATGCAGAGAGGACAGTGCAGGCACACAGGATCTAAGTCCCTGTGGCCTGCAGGTACCTGGCAAGAAGCAGTGTTCCTGGCAGGGCATTACAAAGAGGTTGCCAGCACTTGCGGAAGGCCCACGCCTGGCTCAGAGTGCTTGGCCCAGGGCCTCAGAATGGGCTGAGGTGGAACTATGATGGGGAGGAAGGGATTTGAGTGATACGTACGAAAGGCAGAGGATCCCGCCAGACTTCCAACTTTCCGCACATCAGTATCTGAAGACAGATGGATACAATGTGTTTCAGAGGCAAAGCAGAAAACAAAAGCTCTTACAGGAATCTCTCCTCTCCCACCCCATTCCCTGCACCAATCAACCTTACAAAAACTAGGCAATCATATGGGAAGGTAGAAAACAAATTTTTCTTTAAAAAAAGCGAAGAAAACCTTGTCTATTCATACTGAAAGATACCACGATCCATCTTTAATACTTGTTGATAAAATAATCCACGATGGACTTTCACAAACTGTGAATCAAAAGACTCCTCTATTTTGCAGAGGAGGACATGAAAGCTCAGAAAATGAAATTACTTGCCCTTGGTTCAAATGAGTTAAAAGAGAAGCCAGGACTTGAACCCAGGTGCTTTCTCTGCAGAACCCCATTGCATCCCCATTAAGCTATGGCTTAAAACTGGAATACCTGAGCAAGCAGTGGTCATAATGGCAGGGACACCGTAGTAGGTGAAGGCTCCATTCTCGAAGCGAAGGCCCTCCTTACCAACCTCCACCTCCACTTTACCCTGGAGAAAGAAGGAAGTGTACCAAGGGGGTGGACAAGCACTTCCGGTTCTAGGACCGAGCAGCAAAGCCTGATCACTTCTGGCAACAACTGAACTGACACTCTTAACAATTTTCTTTGTGAAGACAACATCAGTGTTGCAAGTTAACTCCTGCTTCCTTGATAAAATGGAAGGACTTTGATTTAAAAAATGAGAGCAGGAAGGGACAAAATCACATAACATTCTTTCTCCCCTTAAAAATGAAAAAAAAGGAGAGTTTCAATTCTGTCCAAATTTATGTTTCTGAAATAGCACTTTCAACTCCTGTGGCTCTTTGCAGTAAATTAATTGCTCAGCTCACAAGGTAGCAGCCAATCATAAATAATCAAGCACTTTCTGTAAACTCTAATAGCCTTTCCATCATACAGGTTCATGTCAGGTAACCTGGAGCCCAAGATTAGCTGAGAGGAAATGTTTTTTTATGAAGCTAATATGGATAGGATGTGTCTCTGGGCCTGATACTGGGCTAAGGGGCCTGAAAGGATTTGTATTCAGTTGCTCTACAGCACCATAAAGACTGTACCTCTTTTATTCTTAACTTTGAGGATCAGGAAAGGTAAATAATTTGGCCAATGTAAGGGATCCTGATGGTAGAGTGGTTAAAGAATTCGGCTGCTAACCAAAAGATCAGTGGTCCACATCCACCAGGCACTCGGCATTTGAAACATGAGGCGGCCTGCTTCTGTATAGATTTATAGACTCGGAAAACCCACGGGCAGTTCTATTCTGTCCTACAACATCACTGTGAGTCAGAACTGACTCAATGACAAGGACAATTGGAAAATGACAACAGAAATCTTCAAGGCAGATCTTTCCAATTTCTGAACCTATGTTCCTGTCACTACATTTTACTTCCTCCAAGTTTTATCTGAAAGTTCATGGATTTATCCTAAGTGTAGGATCATATATGTGTTTATTATACTATATGATATGGAATTCGAGTGGCTTAGTGGGAAGGAGTTGTACTGTCAACCCGAAGGCTCCCAGTTGCATTAGCTGGAATCCACTAGCGGCTGTGCAGGAGAAAGATGGGCAATCTCTTCCCACGCAATTACTGCCTCTGAAAAAACCCGTTAGAGTGTCTTCTATGAATCAGTTCCAACTCAAGGGTACATACATAACAACAACATAACATTATAGTAACGATGTAATGAGACCCTATTTCCATATCCAATAGTGATTTGGAAGGATGTACAGAAGGAACATTGTAGCAGATAGGCTGGAGATGGATTGCAACAAAGAGAGGTCATTTCTAAGTTACTGTCAGTTAATATTTCAAAATAATCAATGTCCGTAGGATTCTGTTGGGAAGATACAGGGAAGGAGTGGCAGTCAGGACAGACTGAAATTACACTTGACACTTAATATACCATAGTCCATGGTATCCAGGAGTTCACGAGCAGGACAAATAGCTAAGCCCTCTTTACCGCTGGCCACTACCCAGAAGGTTGGTGATTTGAACCCAACCTTGGAAGCCTGGCCCGGTAATCTACCTCTGATAGTTACAGCTTTGAAAATCTCTGAAGCAATTCTACTCTGTACACATGGAATCACCGCAAGTCAGAAGTGACTCAACATACAACAGTAATCCAGGTCCGTGGTGCAGAGAGCAAGTGAACTTAGGTAAATGCTGGGAAGATGCTGTTCCTCTCATTTAGCAGCCAAATCCTGGACCTGCCAATGGAGAAGCACCTCCACTCCTTCTCAGCCTACAGGCTGAGGCCCTCAGCGGCCCTCCTCTTACCTGTAGAAGCAGCACGAAGTAGTCCACAGGGCGGTTGCGCTGGTAGAGGTAGTGCTCCGGGGCCTTCTTGTTCTTCTCGTCAAATTTCAGCTCCTGGATCACGTGGGGGTGTTTCAGGAGCCGGAGCAGGATCTTCTCCGAAAGGTAGAGTGACTTAAAGGGCTCCACTTCTAGGAGAGAGTGGAAGGCAAGGGGGAAATCAGCATCTCCCAGGTCCCACCCACCGAGCGAGGCAGCTGGAGGAGTCAGAGTGGGCACAACCAGGGCTCATATGGAGAAGTGCGCCCATCTGTGCTCTTGGAGCACTGAAATGCAGAGCATCTGTGATCCCTCAGGGCAGAGGATCCCAAATAAGGGATCCTGCTTCTGAGGGCCTTCCCTGTATCCCTGGGGGATGTGGTCCCTGCACTGGTGCCTCAGGAGGGAAAGACCAACACTTAGGAATTACCACCATGCATTTCCTCTTTAATTTCAACTGGGCATGGATGTCTAAGTTATTGTGAATAAAAGAGAGTTTAATGCTATAATCAAAGAAAATTTGTAGCAAATTTAGTCTTATTTTTATATGACATGTCTGTTGAATGCCATGAACTCCCAAGTTAATTGAGACAGTTAATTGATGGTCAATAATGTGAAGCACTATTGAAGACATGTTAATATCTATGAATAGATATGTTAAGAGAGTTACATATTCTATATTGTATTATTTTATAAATTAGTAAATGTAGCTGCTTTGGAATATTGTTGTTGTTGCTGTCATGTGCCATCGAGCTGCCTGCAACTCATAGCGACCCTATGTACAACAGTCCTAAACTCTGCCCTATCCTGTGCCCATCTCACTATCTCTCCCCCTTTATCCCAGTGACTGAATCAATCCATCTCATCGAGGGTCTTCTTCTCCTGTGCTGTCCCTCCACCCTCCCAAGCATGACGTCCCTCTCCAAGTATACTAGCTAAGTTTTAAAACATCAGTGTTGAGAATAAGATAATGTTCTGAAAACCCTATTTTCAAGAAGCTCCCATTTAAATTTTTCTACTTTTTAACACTTAGGAACAGTGTTAGTATTTATTATTATAAGTAGACTAATTAATGGCTAAATATTAATATTAAAAAAGTAAATATTATATGTGAAACTCAACGATGGGCACGACCATCAAGGCCAGCACATTAGCAGCTAGGCAATGAACTAAGATAATTCAAAAACAAATGTAACCCTGACTTTTTTTTCCCTTCTTTGGATCTTCTCATTTTTTTCTTTCTAAAGAAGCACAAACCACTTCTGTAAGTTAGGAGTCGGCAGAGAGTAGCTGTGGGAACAAGATCCTCAGGGCTTGTGGCTGGTTGCTGTCCCTTCCCCACAAATATTCCAGGGCACCCCATTTTCACAGGATGGACGTAAAAGCCTTAGGCATCAGACTAAAAGTGAATGGCAGAAGAGAAAACGGTAATGTCATCTTTTTAAGTTCTCCAAGAAGAAAAAGAGAAATCAGGCCTGGGAGGAAGGTGCTCCATCTCACCCACAGCGGTGGTTCTCAGTCCTGATCATACACTAGGATTAGGGTGGAAGGCAGTCACAGTCACTGGTATCTGGGTCCCCCTCCTAGTGATTCTGCTGTGAAAAGTTTCCTGAGTGATCTAAATGGGCACCTAGAGCCTGTGCTGGAGAATTAGAAATCACAAAGAGAGCTGCTCTGTGGCAGATTCAGGTGGGCAGAGCCATACCTGTGGCCATGAAGCGGTGTGTGGCCAGCAGGAGCTGTGGTGAGATTTTCACCTTCATCTCGGAGTCGGAGAGCTTGAACAAGGAGAAGTCCTGCCGCTTCCTTTCCCGGTGCGGGACTCTCTGCTTTTTCCGATTGTCAGCTGCAGGAACACAAGAGTCAGATGGCAACTATCTCAGAATTGCTGGTGGTCTTTGGAGCTTCCTCTACAGTCACACTGGACAAAGAGGCCCTTTGAGAGTTTCTGCAAAGTGTCAACTCTAGATGACATCACTGTGTCTCCTTCCCAGAGAACAGAGGATGCTGCTGCCTGGGGATTGAGGGTGGGAGATCAGCTGTAACTGTCTTAGGGTTATTTACACTGAAATAGACACTGGAGGGGAAGGAAAAACAGTGTGGAAAACCTCCATATTAGCTGTGTGAACTTTCTAAGCATCAGAGATTTTGTTTGCTTGCTTTAATTTATATGAAGCTGGTAATATTTAACAATAACTTTTAAGCATTAACTGCAGAAATTATACAACCTTCAAGCAGGTTTTCAGAGACTGCATACCACATAGGTTACTGCCTCTGAAAACCTGCTGGAGGGTCAGCTATGAGTCGATTCTGGCTCAACGGCACAAAACAACTTATCACATGGTAGGAAATTTCCCATCTTTCTGCTGCGGTGCATATGGTGGATTCAAATCATGTGCCTTTGGGTTGGCAGTGCAATTCCTTAATGTTTGGCCACCAGAGCATACAAACATAAGGTCTTTGTATTCAATATTAAGGAGGGTTGCAGGGTTCCTGCCTTCCTCTTTTCTCCAGAACTGGGATTACCTGGTCTCTTCTTGTGAACTTAAACTATGTACTGAGCTATATACTTTGAAGCACGTCACCTAAGGAAGTAGGTGGCCCCCTCCTCTTCCCATCACAATTCTCTTGCTTCACCCCAGGCCCTGCACTAGCAGACAATCAGGGAAAAATAAAGAGGAAGAAGGAGGTAGAAATGAGGGTGGGCCTATAAAGGTGCGGTCCTCAGGCAGGGTTTGTAACCTCAGAAAGTCTACTGATTAGGCTTGTGGTTATTATCTGAGAAAGTCTGCTTCTTCCTATTAATTTCTACCCCCTTGCTCCAAACTTGGCCTGAAAAAAAATAGAGTGGTGGGGAATTTCTAGTTCAGGCTGAGTGGACACAGTAGAAATGAGAGTGATTCTTCTCCAGAGACAGGGAGACATATCACAGAATCAGATTCCCTTGATCCCTCCCCTCTCTCCTTCTAGGGCTCACATCCACCAGGTCCTCTGAGTTTCTCTGGAGATTGAAAGTGCCCTTTCTCTCAGCAGCTCTTTCTGCAGGCCTGCCCTTGACTTGGGGCTTCTCAGCCTTCTAGTTACTGCTTTAACACTCCATACTTTGGAGGCTTTTAGCAACAGTAGTGAGATCTGGATCCAGGCATCCTATGGATCTGGCTGGTGAAAGAGGAATCCAGTATTCTTGGCTCCCGTGTTTGTCACAGCTCTTAAGGAATCATGCTGGAAATTTATTTACGGGAGTGGGAAAAAACCCCCTCTCTCCTTTATAAAGAAGACGGCTCAGTATGACAGTAACAAATTTCTATTCTTTCGCATTCCTAGGTGGAAGTATTCTGATTTTGGTCGTAGTGTTTGCTTAAATATTCTCTTCCCTAGCCCCAACAGAATGCTGCTTAAAACGTCATCCTTGGAAAATCATCCTCTGGTCCTTTACTTCATTCCTTTGATTTCAGTAGTGGGTAAAAGGGAGAAGGGACATTACAAGTGTTAAAACTAACACTTCAGGAGAAGCCCACTCATTTAGACGACTATCAGCCACTGACACCTCCAGGTGAAATTTCTTAATTGCATTATCTACTGTGGCAATCAGCTGAATTGGGAATTCATGTGGAGGGTGGTGGGTGGAGGGAGAGAAAGGAGAATGGAGTTGGAACGAAGAGCAGCTTCTGGACTCAGCTCCCTGTTTGAAGAGGACTGGCCTGGCAGGTGTAGCACATTATGAGGTATCTGGAAGGCATGTTTTCTTTCTGTGAAGGTTTAGCTCACCTTTTAGCTTTGATCTCTTCAACCAAAGGGAAGGCACTCCTGGCACAGCCCAAGGTCTTACAGTAGCAAAGCACTACCAGGAATCAGGTTCTGAAGGACTGTTTACAGCAAATCAAAGGTACGAAATGAGTTATCTAGTGGGGAAGAAGGGGATCTCTGCCTCATTAGAAGAGCTTCTGAAGAGAAAATACTTTGTGGGCTAGAAGTTCTGGGGATTTAGGTAAGACGGCCAACCTAGAGACAAAGCGTGCCTTTGTAACGTCAGCAAGCACAGCTTTGCTAAGGCTCGGTTACCAAAAGTGAGCCACTATCTGGAAGCAAAGAGCACACTGTTCCTGCCAGCGGGTCAGTAGGAGGGTGAGGAGCCCAGCAAGCAAGAAGGCGGGAGGGACAAGATAGAGGCCAGCGAGGCAGGGGCTGAGAAGGGACATTTGTATCTTGTACTGAGCTTGTGGGATGTTTCATTTCCGTGGTTATCTCTGCTGCTCTCTGATATTTTGGTGTGAGTGGGGTGGCAGTGGAACCCCAGGTGGTGCGAGGATCTGTGTCTGCATGGACAAAGAGACAAAACAGGAGCAAAACAAGGGGACAGACACAAGGGCAGAGAGGCCTCTGACCACCATCTGGTACAATTTGTTTCCTTTAGTGCCTTTTCATCCAATGGCCAAACCCAAAATATATCAAACCCGACGTTCTCTTATCATCCTGACTCATGGTGACCCTGTGTATGACAGAGGAGAGCTGTGTTCCATGTGGTTTACAATGGCTGCAATGGTTATGGAAGTGGATCACCAGGCCTTTCTTCCGTGGTGCTGCTGATTCGGCAGGTTAAAATTTCCAACTTACAGGTTAGCAGCCAAGGGCAAAACCATCTGTGGCATACAAGGACCCATTCATTAGGTTAAGGGCCAGGAACTGTCCTTGTTATAATCCTGGTTCAGTTCCTGAACGCTCCATGCTGGATGGTATTTAAGGACTCATCGTGACTCAGATCAGGTAGGGAAAGCCAAATTTCATACCAAATATTATACGAAAAACCATATGCTGAATCAGGAATTGAAGGAATCACAAATTTAGAAGTTGGAATTTCTCTGTGACAGATTACAGGAATTGAGCTGTTTCCTGCAGACCAGAGGCAGCCAGGGTCCCCTTGCAGAGGGAGTGTTAATACGTGTGAAATACTTCCTTCCTGAACTAAGTATCAGGTTGACACTAGAGAAAAATTGGGCTTCATTTACAAGATAATTTTCTTTATGATCTGCTACCCGATTCTCAATAAATACACAGAGAGGTGTGGCTTGTGGTGCTTCAGTTGATTAGAACTGCTGGCCCCCTATTTTTAACTCAGTTTCATCTCTTGGTGTTTTGTCTCATTATTAATGTACTTTATCCTTGGTCTGCAACAGCCAGGGTATCCTGACATGCCAGCAGCTGGCCTTAGGTGGCTGACACGGAACAGCTCATGGGCCTTGTCCGGACATTCTTTCATGCTCTCAACCAAATGAAGTATCTCTGAGAGCCTTGGAGGAAAACAAGAAATGCTGGGACTGAAAAGGCTGTGTACTTACTGTAGAGGTCAGTTTCATCCAGGATTTCTGATTTGATGATCTCCTCTATGATGTCCTCCAGTGTGACAATGCCCATCACCTCATAGAAAGGGTCCCCTTCGCCCTCATTATTCACTCGCTGGACAATGGCCAGGTGTGATTTTCCTAAACGGCAAATGAAATCAGAGCGACATTACCTGAGGCATTTTCAGAGTTGTAACAAAGCGGCTGTCCAGTATCAGGACCGAACCCCAAACTTAAAAAAAAAAAGTCAAATTCATCGCTGAGTCAGAACCAAGGCACAGGCTGACCCTCCAGTGGGTTTTCTGGAGGCTGTAAATAGCACATAAGGAGGCTGCTTTAGCCAGTGGAGCTGCTGGTGGATCCAGTCAGAGAGACACTGCCTTCGGGTTAGCAGCATGACTCCCTGCAGACGATGCCACCAGAGCGCCCATCGCAGTGCTCCTTAAAATGCAAAGTTTGTACGCAAGCTCATTTAAACACAAACCTTGTACTTTTATATCTGTCTCTTAGGAACATTACTGGATCTATACAAAATCAGCTAAATTCCTTTTATTTGAGCTTTCACATAGAGCAAATATATCTTAGCTACAGGAGGCTGCAAGATCCAATTGAAAAAGCAAGAATCTGGAGTCACAATTGGGTTAGAAGCCATTCTCCTCCCTCATTCTCTGTACAGACATCCACACTATCACCACTTATAAGTGTACAACTGTTATTGGGAAAACTGGATTTGATTCTCATTGCTGTCATTTAGCATCAGGGAATAATATCAGTGTTGAGGTTTTAAAACATGCCCGCATAACTCCTTCCACTGAGAGGAAGGGTTTATATTTCTTTCCATTAAATCTGGAAGGGAGAGGGTATCTGTAATTACTTCATTTGCAGAGAATGGAATATCCCTTTGGGTACTTGTGGGGCTAGGTGATTAAGTCATATAACTTTCCAGTTAATAACCCATCATAGGGCCAGGCAGGATAAGCAAAGCATCTGGGATAGAGCTCCACCAAACTCAGCTGATCCAAGCCCAGTCTTTCAAGCTTGGCCCAGTCATTCAAGTCAGCTCCAGATGCAGGACCCGGACATGGTGATGCACAGGCAAGCCATTCCCACTGTGCTGTACCTGAATACTCTACGCAGTCATCAGGTATAATAAAACAGTGGTTGGTTTAGGTCTGTGTGTTTGGAGATGGTTTTGTTAGCCATGTGGTACCTGAAACAACCAATACTCATAAGGGGATTGTGAAGCTCCAGTGACCCAGTGTATGGATGAAAGCACTTGGAAACTATAATTTAGCGCTGATGTTATTGTTAGGTATGTGGTGTTGACTATGATTTATCAAGACCCTATGAACAACAATAGATTTGGACTACAAAACTGTGGCCTGCTGGGTCCTCCAAGCCCTGGCAGGGCTAAAAATGGTGACGAAGGACCAAGATGGGGGCCACACACTGACACCTCAGGGACAGAGAGATCTGGACAGAATCACTGGACATGTGGCAGCTGCCAACAAGAAACATTAGAACAAATGATGCTGGGTTAATAAATTGCCTCATTTGTAGCCTTAAAAAAAAAGTGTTCGGAGAATTCCCATTCTTTTCAATGTTATCCATAATTTGGTATTGGTCCACACAGTCAAATGTTTTTGCATAACCAATAAAACACAAGTAAATATCTGGTATTCTCTGCGCTACTGATGTCAAAGGTCCCTTTGACATCAGCAATGGTATGCCTCATTCCATGGCCTCTTCTAAATCCAGCTTGAATTTCTAGCAGTTCTCTTGATGTATTGTTCTAGCTGTTTTTTAATTACCTTCAGCAAGATTTTATTGATATGTGATATTAATGATGTTGATGGTGGTGTATGCCATCAAGGTGGAACCACCCTATATCTGGGTTTTCCAGTGGATTTTCAGAGTCAGAAAATCAGATTAAGGGAAGCTGCCCATTCTTCTGCAAAGCAGCTGTGGATTCAAACCAAATGCCTTTGGGATTGCAGTGCGGCTTCTTACCACTAAGCCACCAGAGCTCCCTAAGCACAGGCTAACTTGTGTGCAATTACTAATCTGTAGTGAACAATTTTACAATTTTTTAAACCACATCAAAGATTCTGCTTCAAAAGTAGCTGGTAGCTTTCTCTTTTTCAATCCTACAGCTTTCAAATTTTTAATCTGTAACAAGGACGGCTATTCTACAAAGAGAGACACGATGCTTGGAAAGGTGGAGGGTCGGCAAAGAGAGGAAGACCCTCAACTAGGTGGAATGACACAGTGACTCATGTAATGACCTTGACTGTGTCAGAAAGGGTGAGGATGGCAGTCTAGGAGAGGGTTCAGATCTGTTGTTCACAGGATGGCTATCGGTTGTCCTCTACTCAATGACACCTAACAACAAAAACAACAACACACTACCCAAGAATGGTCTACCCTACCTTCACCCTATCCTTTAACGAATTCCTATCCTAATCTCATCATGCCACTGTCCTCATCATAAACCTTTTATGGCTCCCAGAATAAAATCCAGGCTCTTTAGCTGGGTGTTCTCAAGACTGAACAATGCAACTCTTCTCAATCTTTCTAGGTATATGCTCTGCTACATCCCTTTCATTCTCTACTCCAGGAGCATCTGGTTACTTCCATTTCCCTAACGTCTACTGTTTCCACTCTCTAGGTCTTTGCTTACACTGTTCCCTGACCCATGATAAGCTCAACTAAGCTGAAGACAGGCTGAAAGCTCATAGTTGATATAATCAATGCATGAAAACCAAGCGGTAAAACTTGTATTTTTTGATAAAGCACACTATGTTTAAATTACAAATGCAGACTAAAATGATCCTTTGAAACAACTGCAGTCTATCCAACTGGAGAGAAAGTGTTTGTAGCCTTAATTAGATTATGACCTCAGAATGCTCTCAGTTTAAAGTGTTTCCCTCCCTCTATAAACATATTTTTCTTAAACTCATGATATCTGTTTTTACTTTTCTGCTAACATGTGTTGGCACATGACAAAACAAATAATCAGTATAATGGAAAAAGAAAGATGATTTTTCTTAATTTATTTTCCATATTCTCTGTTTATATACATATATATTTGTAATGCAAAGTCATTAATCCTTTAAACACAACCATTATTTCCTACCACTAAGATTTAGTTCATGTTGTTGTTGAGTATCATCAAGTCAGAACCAATCCACAGATGACCCTCCAGCCAGTTTTCATAGGCAGTTTAATCACACGGAGATTGCCCATCTTTCTCCGATGGAGCACCTGATGGATTCAAACCACGCTCCTTTGAGATGGCAGAGAAGATTCTTACAACGAGACAACCAAATTGTTTTATTACATTCTCACAAAAAGAACTATAACTTCTACAAGTGTCATTACTGGTCTAAACTTTATAAAGTCTATTTGAGGGTATCTTATATTATTAACAAGAAATAAAGGCTTTAACTATGAGTAATAGTCAAGATAGTATGTTGTTGTTGTTATATGCCATTAAATCAGAACTGGCTCATAGCTGAGCCAGTGGGTTTTCAGAGACTGTAAATCAAATGAGAGGAGACTGCCCAACCTTCTCCCATAGAGCAGCTTGTGGATTCAAGCCACGTGCCTTTGGGTAGGCAGTGCCATTCCTTACCACTCACTAGGCCACCATAGCTCCCTTACGACAACATGGTGGTGGTGGTGTTGGTGGTAATTACTGTCGAGTGGAGCACAACTCATAAAAATTCTATGAGCAAAAGACCTTAACATACACCTATGTAATTAATTTAGGAACATTTTGTAATTTATACCTAGTCTTTTAAGATTCCCTCAAGTGGTTGTAGAGATCTTTTAAAACAAAACTAAGGAATGCAGTTGGTTTCCCTGGATACGGACTGAAGCAGGGTTCGGCAATCACAGAATATGTTCTGAGCTGACATTCACAGTGGCAAGACAGCTAGTTAGTGATTCACCCGACACCCTCCTGAGATCCTGCCTCCCCCACAAAGGCTGGCCTGGCAGGCCCCTGCCTCCTGCACTCATCCCCTCCTTGGGCTCTAGAGGTGTTGGTGCTGGAGGAGGCTGAGTCAAGCCATTCTTGAGACATGGAAAAGCTGTGTCTCCTCCTCCCACAGTATTCTGTACATGCCTCTCTGCTGGCATTGTTAATAATAGCTATTATCCATCCATGCTACAACACAGATGGACCTAGAGAACATTATGCTATGTGAAAGAACACAGGCGTAAAGACCACATATTTTATGATTCCACTTAAGTGCTATCTCTCCAGAAAAGGCAAATCCGCAAAGACAGCGATTCCTAGGGACTGCAGGCAGGGGGAAAGGAGGCTGGAGAAGGACTGCTAATAACTGTAAGGCTTCTTTTCCAGTTAATGAAAGAGTTCTGGAGTGAATTAGCAGCAATGACGGCACAATTCTGTGAATACACCAAAACCTGCAGAATTGTACATTTCCAAAGGGTGGCTTGTATAGTATGTGAATTATATCTCAACAAAGCTAGAAAACAAGAGAACCTCTTGAAAAAAGAAAGTAAGCCGTGGCTTCATACCAATCTGACGGGGCTCAAAGTTGCAACCTGCATACAGAAGGAAAAGCAGGGATGACTGCTTCACAGAGGGCCGGGGTTGGGGGGGGGAATGAAAGGGTAACACGGGATTAGCGGTGGGTGGGTAATGCTGGTAAAATGCGCTTGTCATTGCAAGCTCAAGGATGAGAGGTGGTAGAAACTGAAAAGGAGACACACAGGCCAGGCCACCAGGAGACTAGGAATGAAGGTGATGGCATCATCTTAAGATTGTTGGTGATGGTGGCGAGAGTGAACAGGGATGGACACTTAGCCACAAGTGGAAGGAAGAATCAGAGCAAAGGGCTGTGGGCCCGGGATGCGGCAGACACGTCTTTATTGCTGGCCGCATCAAGGTCTCAGGGATGACTTAGCAGTATTTAAAGCTCAGGAAGTAGGAGGAACTGGGGCAATGAGGATAAGCCTTTTCCAAGGTTTTCCACCTTTTTCTGAATATATGCGGTTTCCCAACATGCATTCCTTCTCCTTCCAGAAATCAGTGTTGCGTTTACTTCCTACTGGCACATATGGAGGCTGCTTCACTTAAAAAAATTTATTTTTGTATTGGGAAAAACATA